AAGTTATATCTGCATTTTAATCTACAGAAACAAGAAAACAAAAAGTTTCTCATTGATTATATCTATAAATCAATTTTAAACAAGAATAGATTTGAATAAAAAAAACCTTTTTTTCTTTTTTTTTTTTTTTGAACAGTAACAAATACCTGTTGGGTTATGAAAACACTGTGGTAATGGAAAACGTTCACGGGGTGGATAATAATATGGTGCTACAGAATCTTCTTTGGTGTAATTACTCAATGGTTGTTTATGATCTCTTGGCGAATTTGGATCAGTTGGAACAGCCGGACGGCCTCCATGCATTATTGGTCCAGACTGCTCATAAATAAAAGATTAAAAGTTGTAGATCAAATTTTTCTTCTCTTAGAAAATTTACAAACGCAATCTACTTTATAACTTTTAAAAAACAATGCTTTAAAAAAACTTTAATTGTTCTAAATTTTATAATCTATATTTCATGCAGATTCTTATAACTATTATTTGTTAGCGCTATAACTTAAAGAACTCATTTGACGAATAACTAAGACCAAATTTTCCTGATTTGTTTTGTAATGTTCCTTTAAATTTTTTCATACGTCTCAATATATTGCAGAACTGAATGAAAGTAATCAAGCAGCTGACAATGTAAATAGTTAAATGATCTTTTGCAAAAAATTATTACAATTATTAGGCTTTAGAACTAGTACTCCCATGCAGTAGTTGACATTTCAGACACAATCAAGCACTAAAATCTTTTCAACAGTCAGTCAAAAAGTAATAATATTGAGTAAAAGTAACACAAAAAATTTTAGACCTCAAAATTGATTGCATTTGACTAGTCAGCAGCCTTTTCTTTTTTTTGCACAGATTTGGTTGCTCCAACTCAAATAGGTGCATTTGCTTAACAAATAAATTTCTTTTTGTATTCTAATTCAAGTGCCAAATTTTTTGTTATAAATTAGTTTTGAAGTATGAATGTGTTACCGACATCGACGAAGCTAATGGTTCAAAATTTTGAAGTGTTCGACGCGGATTTTCAACGAGCTGAAAAATTTTTACAACTAATTGAAAACAGCAGTTTTATATATTAGAAGAAAGAAAAAGAAAAAAGTTTAATTAAATTAACAAATTTTTTTATCTGTTTTTAAAAATTATTTTGCTTACTCAAAAGTACTATAAGAAAAAAGAAGTTTTTTCTTGTAGTTTTGTCTTTTTTTAATCTTACCTAAGTTTATCAAAAAAATCAGAACCTCAATTCAGTTTTTAACTTTTTTTTTTAAGTTTTTTGATTGTTCTATAAGATTATCAACAAAAGTTTGGAACTGTTTATCATCTTTAATAGCTGGTTCTTTTTTTTTCTCCAATGTACAATATGACAACGAAAAGTGTAAAGTGAAAAAGTTTGGGAAGAAAGATGAAAAAAAAGAAAAGGAGAGAGAAAATGATAGAGGTGTGCGTAATAAAAGTTAAATTTATATAAAATAAAACAAATTTTGAAATAAAATAAAGCAAAAAATAAAGATTTGCAAAGTGTTTATTAATTTTACCCTGAAAACAGAGCGATAAAAAAATTGTTTCGTTTGAAATGCTAAAAATTTTTTAGAAGTACCTTATTGTTTAAAATGTAATCTTGCTCAAACTGAATTTGGAATTGTTCATCACGAATTTTTCCTGCCTTCTCTCCATAATCAATTACAGCGTCTGAAAAAAAAAAAAAATATTATCATAAAATTTTGCTATTTTGTTGGTTTTCAAAATAATTGTTATAAGTAAAAAGTGGGAAAAAAAAGTTGATGCTCTCAAAACAACACTTTTATGTGCTTCAGAATGATACGATTGAATTTGCCAGTGGAATAGCGTTTTGAAGTTGCTTACCAATGTATTTGGTTGAATAAACCAGGAACAAAAGAATCCACCAAATATTCAGTTCAATAAGCATTATTTGCTGATAAAATTCTGTATTATACACTACAAAAACGTTAATATTTTGCAGTATTAAAATAAAATTAATATTGGTACAAAATGTGTACATTTTTTGGCATACGCATCTGAGTTTAAAATTTAGGTTACAAAAAAAAGAAAGAAAAAGCATACAAAAATCTGAATGTGAATGTTTCTTGACGAACAATTTTTAACTAATTAAATGAATAAGTCTGAAGGAAAAAGGCGAAAATTTTTGAGGGCACTTTGATGTATTCGACAGAGGAATGTTTTTGAGTGCCCAAAAATGGTTGTTTAGAATTAAATTTTTCATCTAATTTTTTGTTTCTTTTTTTTAATGCTTTTACGGTTCCTGAAACGGTTATCAGAACAAACGGGTTTTCATGAATGAAAATTACATCTTAGATGATTGTCAGTGATAAGAAATTTGGTGCTGATGTTGCCGTTGTTGTCTATTTATTTCCTTTTTATACTGATTTGCTCCCTTAATTGCCTGTTTTGTCCTATTCATTTATCTTCCACTAATGAAAGAACCACGAAAAAAGCATGAAAAGCTAAGTGCCTTTGAAGTTATCTGTTTAAAAATATCACGTTTAAACTTAAAAATGTTTTTTTTATTTTGATTCTTAAAAAGTTCAAAAATTTTATTTTTATTGATAATTTGGATAAACTGTTTATCGTAATTATAGTATAGGTCAGTTTACAAGAGTTGATATTTTACTTCTTTGAACTGTTCATTAGTCTCACAACTTAATTAAGATATAATTTCACCCTTCTGCTCTTTGTTTTGTAACGATACCGAAAAAAAAAGAACAGTCTACAAGTTGTTTTATTTGATAAACTAAACTGACTTCGGTCAGCACTTACAGCGTAAAATCAACCGGTACCTCAGATACAGTTATCTATATACATTGCCCTCCGAATTTTTTGTCTGTTGTTTTCTTACACTGATATCGAAAAAGGTGAAATTTATACCGGCATATGACTGCTGATTCTGTTTATTGAAATGGTAAATCAGAAAAAGCGACACTGATTTGAAATAGCAACTGGTGCTGCTTGGCTCAACAAACTGTCTTTAAAACTTAATTCAGGATATATGCATTCTTCTGATCACTCGTTGTCGTTGATTGTTGTTGTTGTAATTGCTGCCTTCTTCTTACCTCTCAGTCTCAAAAATACTAGTTCTATTAAATAAACTGCTCTTGAGTTCAGCAGGTAACGAAGGTTGTAAAGAATGTATTTTTGAAAAAATTTTATATTTTTCATCTGCTTACAGTTAATCATTTATGCTTTATTACAAAGTATGAACATAAGAAAAGGTTGTATTTTAATATCTATGTGAAAAATAATAGTTTTTACACCTAAATGACTAACGTTTACACCAAAAAAAGGTCATTAGCGACCTGTGGTTTAGGAGGGCACTTTCATAATTCATTATATTCTTTTTCAGAATATTTAGGAAACAGTTGGCAGATTACGTACACCGGCTATCTAGAAACCTTGTAGGACAACCTAGCTGTAACCTAGTTGTAATGTATCTATACCACACGGAATTCATTCAATCAAATAAACAGTCAGTTGATTTTAGAAGTCATTATGCAATTTTTGCATCATACCCTACGGTATAACTATGTACGGGATTTACATTTTTGTACGTACATATTTTTGTAATATTTGGAAGTCGACGTTATTCGCTTCAAACACAAATACTTCTCATATACTGTTCCTGTCTTTTAGAGTCGACTGTTAACTATACTATCAGGCCCATTCGTTGGCAATAATTTATACGTCTTAGGCCACTTGTTCATCTTTGCGACTTTATAAACATGCATATGGTTTACTGCTTAGCAAAAGTTTGATGTCATTGGCATATCATATGACTGACTTCTTATCGACCTGACTAGAAGAAAATAATCATTTTTGAACCCGCTGCCACAGCCAAATCGAGGAAAAGATAAAAAAGATATTGATGCTGTTTAAGTATACCCAAAAAAGTACATTAAATTCAATTTCTTTTTGCGCTGAAAAGATGGTAAATTTTATGTGCTATAGTTGCAAACTTTTTATCATCAATGATATGCACAACTTGAAACTTTTTTTTGTTGAAGAACTTTTAGAGACTACATAATAATCTTAAATGGTTCTACTGTATAGAACTGTTTAATGACAACTGAATATTTACTAAAACTGACTTTATTTATTCTGAATATCAGTATATTAGATAATGTTTTTTGAACCGTATTTTATAAATGTTCAGAAAAACTGATCAAAGAGTCTGTTATATCACAGTTATCAGTTGTATGCTTTTAATTAATTGTATTTTTATCAAAGAAAAAGAAGACAATTTTTCAAAGTTACTTTTTTTCTTTATAAAATTTGCAGATGCAACGCTTTATAGCTGATAAAATAATTTTGTTGCAGATTAGTTCAAGAATAAAATTGTGTGATTGATGTAGCAGTATTTTCAAACAGATTCTGTACGACCAATTTACGAATGAAATACGATTGTTTTAGCGGCGATACGTCTAACAACGGTGATCGTATTTAACATCAACTAATTTCCGCAACACCTTCAACCAAGCACTGTTTTTGTGATGTTAATAATTTGCTGTTTATACATCTAAGTCTATACATTTTTATCAATTCCATTGTTTTACAGTTGCTAATAACTTAAAAAGATTAAAAAAAAAAACAAAAGTTTGAATTTTTAATTCACATTTATGCATAAAAATTACAGTTACGAAAATCAAATTGCAGGGTACCAATGTCATATGTTTTGAGTAATAAACCAAATTAAGAACAACATTTAAGAAGGCAAAAATTTAATACCGCTTCTGTTACAGTTCAATTAATTTCTTTTGTTTTATTTCTTCATCTTTTTTTTTTTCTACTTTTTATAGTGTGAGTATCACACCACTATCATTGACAATATTTCATCGTTAATGTCATCTCAGTTGTTCAGTACAGTGCCAAGAAATTGTACAGTCATCATTTGATAAACGATTTGTTCTATATGTAGATGGGGGTTTGAAAGTGTTCAGCGCTTTGACTAACCGCCGTTACGATAATTAATTGTTGGCTGACAAATGTATAAATTATTGCCAACAACTGAATTTGACAGTATTATTTAGGCTTCTTTTATACACTTCTCCGATACTGTGTCTTGTAGCATTAATTAGCCTATAGTTTCTTGACCTTTAGTGACTTTGATACATTCTTTCTAAGAAAGAAATTTTTTTTTCCTTGTTATCGTTTTCTTATCAGGTCATCCACATTTTCTGGTCATCTAATCGCCAATGTCTTCTTATGCGTCTAGCTCCAGCTTTATTTAGCCAAAAATCTTTCTATAACTTCTTTAAGTCACTTTAAGCCTTATTCGTTTTATTGTCTTCAAAAACCTTCATCATGTTATCGAACACAATTCTTGTCTCTGCAACATCTACATGGCTTCTGTTGTTATTCTTGTAGCCTTCAACATCAGTTGTTGAGTTAGAGGTTGTCACATATGTTTCATTCTTGTTTTTATGATAATGTATTAATTCGTGTTATAAGTTTTGCTATTCACAGGTTGTCGTCTCGGTAGTATACAGTTAATTGTTTCAGTTGTATTTTGATGCAGTTCTAACAGAGCTGTGCTACAGTAACCAGTTGATATTATGTAATCCTAATTAACTTTAATGTTCTAAAATAAGATGATAGATTTCTTTTTTACATTTGACAAAGTAAATAAAGAAAAAAAATGAATTTTTATTTTCATTACAAGTGTAATATGTGTAATACTGTAGAAGAACAAATGCGTTGACAAATCGTTTAACAACTGCATGAAATAATTCCATGTTTATAAAGAAAAGAAAAGAATGACACTCAAAAAAGCTGGTATATCTTAAATGCTTCAAAAAAAAAAGCAAAAGAAGAAGAACAGAAAGTAGAAGAAACTAAAGACCCTACAGATTTTAAAAATTCTATCTGTTTCTGTTTGTCAGTTTTAAAAATCAGCAAAAATTTGGTATTTAAAGAAAGCAGTAAGATTTTTTTTTTTTTTTTTTTT